CAAAATATTTTTAACAAAAGAAGCCTGGGCTCACAAATGAAGGTAAAGCATACATTACATTTGCCATGGACCCCACACAATGAAATTGTGTACCATTTTCTGTGCCATTTTCAATACATCAAAAGTGGCTACAGGCAGTGTGTTGACTTAAAGTGCAGTTGCTGTGCTATATCATCAACATGACCTTGAGGTCACAAAGGAAAACCTAGTTAAGGTATGGATCTATTGCCACATAACACCAACATCCATATATTATGCTTATTTCATGTGTACAATCTTGTGACAAATAGCTATTTAGTTATGAGATAAAACAGATCATAAAATAAGATCATAACAAAGCAATAAATTGAAATACACTGTAGGTATCCAACCAAGTTTCCATAAAATGCATGTGTGGTACCTTTGAATAGAAAAAAAACACCTAACTATTATATTACCTTACTTCTGCTGTAAAACATGACATGAAATGAATAAATTATACTGATAAAAAAGCTTAGGTGCAAGCTCAGTGTCAACACAAACAAGCACATCTGTTAAATAAAGCTCTCCAGAGGTGATAAAGAATTCATACGGCAACATGCTACCTTGATGTGACTGTGTCTGAACCACCTTACTCAGTATATATGTGAACCGCTGAGCAATATAAATATATTTGGCAGAATAAGACTGCATTCCCACAGATTTAGATCGATCTATCTCCGTGGGGAGTCTCACTAGATTACTGTCAGCTTAGGCGGTTTTAATGTCTGTTCCGCCTACTATAAGCTGTAAGGGGGTAATTAACTTCTGTGCGCACTCAGCTGAGAGCAATTTAGCATGAACCCCAAGGGAGTTAGGTCGATCTAGATGGATCAATCTAAATCTGTGGGAATGCAGTCTAAGACAGCTATGGCAAGTAAATGTACATACAGTTTTGACACAACACGCAAAAATCCCATCTTAAAAGATGCATATTCAGCGAGAACATGTCAAATCATCAGAACTAAACCAGACAAAATGCCATGGTGACCATGGATATGACTTTGTGCACATTTCAAATAGCATAACTTAAAGAAATACCTCAGAATAACATTTCAATATTACCTGAAAAAACGTTTTTTGAACAGATATTTACTGCTTAGTTACTATGCTTTACAGACTGGAGGGTTAGCGAAGCTGGTAAAATTGAAGGTGCAGTTTTAAAGCCTTTTAATTGTACCCGGTATATGCTACAGGGAATGTACCAGTATCAATACTCTCACTTGTTATGTATTAGGCTATCTTAAATATAATGATACATAGCAAATTTGTCACTTTACAACCCTGCCTTCCATGTGAGAGTTTACACTAGTAAATGTGAATAAATATCTTGCTTACTGCATATAATATGCAGACATTCTCATATTATGTACAATATGTAGAAATAATTATCTTCTTTACTCATTATGCTGCCTAAGTATAACCTCCTCTAAATAAAATAAATGCGAAGCATGTTTGCTAAGGAATAGAGCTTAACTCATCTCATATATCTTGCCTTAAATTTCTCACAGTTTTCAAGCGCCACCTGAATTTCTTCTTTCGTCATGATGTTCTCCTTTTCAATGCAGTAAAGTAGTTCTTCCTTGGCATTCCCTATGAATTTGTTGCTAAGGAATATTGGAAGGCCTCTTTCATTATCATTTAATGTGAACATCGGCACCCGTATAGGACCTAACACCTGAAAAATTAAATACTGTATGTCAGCCTTTGCTTGGTAACATTAGAGAATAGCACATAATTACCGAGTATAAACATTTTAATATACAAAATATTAAAATAATTTGCAAATTTATATTAATTACACCATCATCATAGTTCAAACATCAAAAATAATAATCTGAAGTTCAGAAAATCATTTGATTCATCAATTTATCTTTTATTTATCTTCAACTTAATCAGATGCTTGACATATGTTTCACTGGATACAACCATGTGAACACGTCTTCTCAAACACCTGCAGCCACAAACACCCACACATCTACAGGTGCCCACATCCGAGGACTTTAAACATACCCATAAATAAATAAATAAATAAATAAATAAATAAATAATGACAAAAATCCACCCACAAAAATATTTTTAATACAGTCATGCACATCCACATTCACACACACTCATTTTCTCCATCTCTCTCTCTCTTTCTCATTCTGTAACACACACACACATGCGCGCCCACACACACACACACACACACACACACACACACACACACACACACACACACACACACGCACACAAACAATGGATAGCAGTTTGGCAACCATACCTCCCACCCATACTCGTCTGCATCGATGGTTCTTTTCTCGATCTCCAAACACTCCTCAAGCGTCACTTTTTTGCAATAAAAATGCAGCAGTAGTCTCTTGTTGTGGGTGACGTACGATAAAACATGGTCCTCTTTAGTAAAGCTATGCCTGGTTGGATCTAGCCCTATCTCTTCTTCGAGTTCGCGGTTTAACCCAAACTCCACTGTTTCACCATCATCCATGATTCCACCCGGAAAACCGATGTATCCATCAAATCTCATCATCATCTGGAGAGAAAGATGTGTGTGAGAGATGCTTTAATTCATATTGTTTTACATAACACTTATGCTACTACAGGTAAATGACAGACGAAACCAAGATGTCTATTAAATGCCTGTACTAGAATAATTGGAGTTATATACTAGTTCTTGTACTATGTAGGCTGCTTTAGTGAAAGCAATGTATTATGGATGTCGTTTCAGTGCTGTATTGGCACAGACACAACCAGTAATTACTAGTATATTTGTTGGATAATAATTATAACAATATCCAAAAATAAATCAATAAATGAAAAATATTGGGAACTTCCCAATAAAAATGTAGTCTCACTATCATTGACCAATCACTTTAATTACACAAAGGCTTGGAGAACACTCCCCCTCCCCCAACACCCCCACCATTCACCACCCCCGCCATCCTTGGCTTGATTTTCCTTATCAAATCCAAGCCTCTTACCAGTATCACAGCCTTATTTTCGTACATGTCCCACAACTTCTTGCCATCTGGGGCGTAGATCATGGCGTGGGCAGCGTGTCTGTACGGTTTCTCTCCGTTCTTACCCCACGTCTTTCCCATGGCGTCTTCATAGCTTATCTGCTCGTAATCTTCTTGTGAATCTGGTCTTCCGTAGCCTTCTGTGGCCGTCAACACACCCCATTCGGAAACATCCGGTTCTCTGTTTGCCATGACAGCAGTTTAAGAAAGAAGAAAAGATTAAATACAGACTAATATCTACTTGATTGAAGACGTGGAACGGTAAATTCAACATTAAATAGTAATATACCCGCAGTTTTCTGTCTGCAACCAACATGCAGACGACGTCTTTAGTGCTTGGAGGCACGAAAAAAAAAAAACCTTGAAATAATGTTTCGCCATCTATCGACGAGTTACCAAAGTGAACATGGAGAACCAGTTGAACGTGTGGACTTGTTTAATTCTTATAATTTGCCTATATATAACCAGTATTTCGCCTGAGACAGAAACAAAAACTGAAAAGCAATGTACTGGCGGCGACGATCCCGACATTTCAAACAAAGGATGTGGCTGTGCCGCGACAAATCGAAAACATGATGACAAAGGGGAGGGTGCAGACCAATCGGAACGTGCAGACGAACTTTCTTCTTCGGTTGAGAAGGGACCGTTAAACTTGGGCCCTGCTGCAGTGAAGAGTCCGTACGCTCGGACGAATCAAATGGTGTATATTCCAGGAGGTGTGTTTACGATGGGCGTTGCCCAGCCTATTCTTCCCGGAGACGGGGAGGGGCCACCGCGGGAGGTGGAGGTGACGGGGTTTTATATGGACGTGCACGAAGTCAGCAATGCAGAGTTTGGTTTGTTTGTCAATGACACGGGTCATGTTACTGAGGTAGGTTGGTTTATATCAGTGTTTGTTTAAGAAAGAGATTAGTTTTGGCATGTGTTTTCTTTACAGAGGTAGTATACTACCCAGTATATGGGTTTGAAAAAACCGCATCGTTGTATTTTCTCTCTATTTAAAGTATCCTGCCAAGCTTTTAATGATCTTTCCCAATTCAGACCTAAAAAGATGAAACCCTTAAAAATAAAAGTACTTGATATGGATATTTCCTTTAATATTAATAAGAAGACATGGCTGTCAAAATGTCTGGTAAGACATTAACTGTAGAACTAAATAGATTAATTAGAAATGGTATATACAGTTACTGTACTACGGTACCGGTACATGTAGCGGTACATCAAAACAAAATGCATAGACTCGCACAGATTACAGTTTGAGTCAAAAAAATTTTTTTCTTGAGGGAAATTTGATTTGGTGTTTAAAAAAATCAAATTCAAGTATACTGTACACTGTACTTGATCAGAACTTCTATAGGTCCTTTCCTGTATTGTTTCATATTTTTGTCATTTAGGCAGAGACATTTGGTGATTCATTTGTGCTGGAAACAAGAATTAGTGAAGAAGTTTTAAAAGGAATTTCACAAGCGGTAAGTTTTTATGTTGATACTCTGTATACTGATGCATATTAAATGTAGGCCCGTAGCCAGGGGGGGTTTGGGGGGTTTGAAAGAACCACACTTTTTGCTAGGAAAAGGTCCACTCTGGGTAAAATTTGACCTATGTACTTGAGGATTTTATGGTAAAGGGTCCACTTTTTCAGAAAACGAACCCCCCCTCTGAAATTGCTGGCTACGGGCCTGAAATGAAAATGACATATTTTCAATATAGCCATTACTCATGAATAATGTGCTTGCAAATGTTTGCCATGTAAATTGTGCTGATTCCTAGTGCTGTTTTAATTTTTCTGGCATTGTAGTTAAAAAGGAGAGTGCCCTTTTACACAAGGAGATATTATGTGTGTTCGGAATTAAAAAAACCCACAATTTTAAAAATAATTTTGCAGTATTACCAAATGACATCATTGTATGTACACATATGTATGTTAACAAGAACATTTTGCTTCTATTTTACCACTAGGTGGCAGCAGCTCCTTGGTGGCTTCCTGTGAAGGGGGCAGATTGGCGCCACCCTGATGGGCCTGATACTGATTTAAAAGGAAGGTAAAAGAAAATTGAAACTGTAAAACACTGTTAGACCCCATTCCCATAGACAGCATTGCAGATTGACGTAACTGAAAGGGGACTCTTTGTTGAGTTGCAATCAGCTTAACCAGTTGATTGACACATACGCCTCATGAGTTGGGCCAGTCTGCATGTACTGTACTGATGGTGTCTATGGAAATGGGGTCTAAGAGTGCATTACTCAGAAGAAAAGAAAAAGAAAAGAAAAAAGGGCAACTACTGAAAGGGATATCAGAAACAAAAATTCTTTTGAAAAATTCTGTTGAAATTATGCTGACACCTCTTTCCCTCCTACATGTGTATGTGCACTACATGAGTAAAGTCTAGCACCCATGCTGGGACAGTTTGCCAGGCTGGTTTTAATGATAATATTGATGATCCCTTACGAAAAAGTCCTATAGGATCATAAAGGAAATTGGGCCAATTTCCTATAGGATCCTATAGGATCTTATAGGATCCTATAGGACTTTTTCGTTAGGGATAAGAAGAAGAATAGTGGCATGACGTTGTAATAGTCTTCTAGAGGGCAGTGAGCCTTGAATTATGTAGATTATGAGTTTATGAAAATAAGCTGTTAATATACAGTAATGATGTTCTTCCTGCTGGATGGGTCATGTTGTTATCCATGTATTGTAAATTGAGTCTGGTGTAAGTTGTAAATTAGTTATGTCGTTGTTGTAGGATGGATCATACTGTAATTAATGTATTGTTAAATGATTCTGGGTAGAAGCTGTAAATATACAGTAAAGATATATTGATGTTGTTGTTGTTGTTGTTGTTTTAGGAGGGGGGATCATGCTTGTGTCCATGTATTGTTAAAATATTCTGGGTGTACTAGTAAGCTGTAAATATACAGTTGATATATAATGATGTTGTTGTTGTAGGATGGACCATGCTGTTATCCATGTATTGTTAAGACATTCTGGGTGTAAGCTGTCAGTATACAGTTAATATACATGTATAATGATGTTGTTGTTGTTGTAGGATGGACCATGCTGTTATCCATGTATCATGGAATGATGCTGTAGCCTACTGTAAGTGGGCAGGAAAACGTTTACCTACAGAGGCAGAGTGGGAATATGCCTGTCGTGGGGGATTGAAGGATAGGTATATACAGCACACAGCCACTGAACTAATCTGCAGCTTTTGTCTTTAGTATTTTTTATTTATGATCTACATTTATGTATGATTTAAGGGGATTTGTTTTAAAGTGTAACTTAATTGCAATATAGGATTATTCAATAGACACATACCTCAGATTCACGTATATTAGGGCTGAAAAATTAGATCCAATTACTAAAAGATGTTTTAAAATTATTATAGGCAATGCTCAGTTTATACCAAAAAATGTGTTGTACACCAAGAATATTTTTGCAAGATTCATGATCATTCAAGTACCAAGGTGGCAAGTTATGTGAGGTCTATTATATCATAATCCATTCTTTTATATACATTTTTGTTTTGATTAAGAAAGAAACTTTAGGGTATACTCTTACATGTATCCCATCACCTCACAAAGTTAAGCTTTTTGCTGTCTGAATTTTAAGCACATGGAAAAAAATTGAAATTTGAACTAATTAATTCAAATGTTTTATTATACTTCAATCAGATTATTTCCATGGGGCAATAAACTCACACCAAAAGATGAGCATCGCCTGAATATGTGGCAGGGGGAATTTCCAAAAGAAAATACAAAAGCTGATGGTTTTGATGGGCCAGCACCAGTAAGTGTGTGTGTGTGTGTGTGTGTGCGTGTGTGTGCGTGCGCACGTGTGTGCACATGCATGTGTGTGGGTGTCAATTACTGGTATTACAATCATGTGCAGACTCATAGGTTATTACTGTAACAACCCATTTACCAAAGTGTAAACTAGATGGATATATGCATCTCCTTTCCTACAATCTTCTTGATGTCATATGTAGAGCTTAATTACAGGTGCAGTTGTTCAACCTAAATTCCTTTGCTATGTATTTCAACCAAGGAGGGTTGTCTGTACATTTGTCAGCTTAAACTGGCTTGTTTATTATTTGATTTGGGGTTATATTTCAAAAGGCATACATTTAGCTTGAAGTGAAAATAGAAAGGGATAGTGTACATGTAGATATGAATTGATTTCCTGTTTATGAAATTTTATTTGAGAAAGAGAGATATAGACAAATAATCCTTATTAAGGTGGGAATGTAGGTTTGAGATTTTATCTTAAAGTAAAGGCTTTGGCTTTTTTTATTCCTGTCACATTCATTTAATGTATCTTCAAAATATCTAATTATGCTTGGAACACAGCTCTAACTTCATCGTGTGACGTAATATTGGGATTTTGGGGACAAAAACACCATTTTTATACACCTGATTTTCTCAGGCACCTGGACAGCTATAAACTTGCTTTTGATAGCATTATAACACTTGAACAAAGTACTACAGCATGGAGTCAGGGATTTTTCTTCAGACACTTATTGTTGATTTTATCTATAAAAACGTGAAATTACATCAAAATATTAGGGAATTTTCACTTTCAAAGTCTATAAATTAGAAAAGAGAGGATCAATCAAAATTTCTTAAAAAGCACTTTTAGTGCATACTTTTCATAATAAGCATGGTGAATTTGGTCTCTCTCAGGTGTACAGGTAGACAGTTATAGCTTGCTAAGATAACGCTATCTCGTCAATATTGAAAGCAAAGAAAACGAGCAAAAACCCTTTCAGGGAGGTTAATTGTCCAAATTAGCAAATTAAATTGCTGACAGCTTTACCTGTTATCGTTCTGACGATCGTGAAGATGGGTACTCTATTGCCGGTTGAAATTAGCTTGTTTGCATGCATTTGGATGTCAAAAAATCTTATTTTTGTATCAATCTCACCTCCTGTTAGTAACTTCAAGGGGTTACCGCTAGCACTGCCAGAATGATTGACAGGCAATCAAGTAAGCCCTAATGACTCAAGCAATCAGTGGCCACGTCAATTGTCGTTGGGGAAAGTGTTAGGGATGCGCTCTAGGATGTGCACACAATAGCAGCATCGCAGGCGGTCTTGTCCAGATTCGCCAAGCGAAAAATGGTTCGAAAACACGGTCATGTTACAGGTGAGCCAGGAAAAATTCTGCGATAATTGTTGAAGAAAAAAGCTGGGTCAATTCCGTTTCAAAATTCTTTGACGCTTTGCAGGAAAAATCCTTCCTTTGTTTCTCTAGCTCCTTATAAAACCTGGTGTCCAGATTTTATCTAGTGCCCTCAGGGTTGCGGGAGCTGTTCTTTGAAAATAACACTCAGGTAAATTTTTACCTGAGCTAAATATCGCCAGCGAGGCTTCAGGAGAGTTGTGGGCCACTGAACCCTACAATTAAGAGGTAAAGGAAGTTCCAGTTAGATGGACGAATAAGATAAAACTTGTTAAGGTTTCATGCATTGTTTACCTCAGTTCAATAAAAGTATGCAAGACAGGGGGGGGGGGGTCAGAACAATTGTGCCTTTACAATTGATACAGAGGATTTGTTCATACAGGTAACTTTAATAAGCAGAGGATTTCTTTATATTCCATGAAAAATACACTAAATTTATATGAAATAATATCATGGTTGGCCAAAAATTGTACGCACAGTGCATCCGTGCGTATCCCTAGTTACGCCCATGTTAAGATTTTAAAAATCTAACAACTGCATCGAGCTGTTGTCGAAAATGGATAGAAAGTATGACGATTGTTGTCACGGGTAGCAAGCAACGGACTTTTCTTCTTTTTTTATTTTTTGCGTATCTCAAAAAGTTAATAAGAAAATCGAAAGAGCGCGTGTAACAACAAGCAATATTCAAGGGAGAACGCGTATTTCGAGCAAATCCAATGTGTCGGAAAAGATTCATCTTAGCGCTGATCACAATCAAGAGTGACTATCAAAACAGCTTAAGCGGAACAATAGGCACTGTTTTGCCGATCGCTGTTTATGACAAAGGGGGCATGGCGCATCCCTGTTCTATTGTTTCCCTAGACGTGCTGATGCTGCTAAGGTCCGCCCACCGAGTTTACCCATGCCAACGGCCCTTGACAACGAAGGCGGGGCATAGACCAGGCCACCGGTGCCGATCTGTGCAGCATCAGAATCCTCAGAAAAAACATATTTTTTGTTCAAAATGTAAAAAATTTATTCTGTTAAACGTTAGATACACATTTAACCAATAATTAGACATATAAAACCAAAAATGACGATTTTTAGCTATATTTGGGTACATCCGTACCTTAAGGTGGGGAAATTATTGTTTGGGTCCCAACATTGGCAATAACTCCTTTAAAGTGGAGACATTTTTTTTTATTTTAGAATGTGATCATTATTATACAATGATGAAAAGGTTTTCCACAAACAGCCATTTTAAAAACTAGCATGCAAAAGGAAGAAGAAGAGTCTCAGATTAAGATTTACAGCCGAAATTATTAAAAGGGAAAATTTATTGTTTTGAGTTCCAACATTGGCAATAACTTTTTTTAATTTCCATGGAAAAGGAAGAAGAATAGAATAGGTGTGAAGTAACCAACTTTAAACACTGTTCATCTGTAGGTAACCAGTTATCCCCCCCAGAATAAGTTTGGGTTGAAGAACATGGTTGGTAATGTGTGGGAATGGGTGTCTGACTGGTGGAACATCAGACATACCACAGACTTCAAGAAAGATCCTGTAAGTATAGAGCACGAATATGGTAGAATCGTGTTGGCATTGTACGGCTATGACTAGGATATTCAAATTTAATGTTTCAAAAACAGTAGAAGAAAATTATGTTGAATGGCTTTAAAGAACACTTCAGCAATACCTATAGATATTAAAAAAAAAAAAACAAAAACAAACATACAAATAAATTTAGCATTTGGCTGCTAATGTAAAGTAGTGCACAAGGTTCTGCATACCTTTTTAACAAATTGAATGGAAAAGATTTTTTCTTTAATATTAGCTGACGTTATGAAAATTGCCTGACTTGATTCTTTGTCTAAGACCCCATTCCCATACCTAGATCAAGCTAGCAGGATTGATCCAACTCCAAGTGGATTCTCGCTTAATTGCACTAAGCTTAAGCGGCTTAGATGGCTGGCATGCCTACTGAAGCTGTTAGGGGGTAATAAACTATCATTTAGCAGCTTCGGTAGGCATGCCAGACATCTTAGCCGCTTAAGCTGAATGTAATTTAGCCAGAATCCCCTCAGAGATGGGTTGATCCTGCTAGATCAATCTAAGTATGGGAATGGGGTCTTAGTTGTACAGATATTTGGTCATCTTGAACCTGGTAAAACTGTCCTTATGTTAACTTGTTTCCAGAAGGGACCAGACAGCAGTAGTGACAAAGTGAAGAAAGGTGGATCGTATATGTGCACTAAGGTACATGTACTAGTATGTGCTTACGATAACATTGAAGATATTTTAGGTCAAAGACTGAAACTTAAATTCGCAAAGAAACACCCCTTTGTTCAGAAAATGTCCAATTTGTATCAAACTGATCCCCTTACAAATTGCTGACTTCAGCCAGGAGTGCATATTTTTTATTACTAAAAAGATATGATTTGGGAAATTAACAAATAAAATTATTTCCATGTAATAGCTAAAGTTGTTATTCTTTCATTGCAGGAGTTTTGCTATCGATATAGGTGTGGTGCCAGAAGTCAGAACACACCAGACAGCTCTGCTGGGAACTTAGGTTTCCGATGTGCAGCAAATCAACTTCCACAATATCTTGATATTCCAGAAAAAGATGAACTATGATTTTTGAAAGTAAAAAGTAGATAATTTTTAGAGACTACATATGTCTTTACCTATGCAGTATGACAGTTTCAACCCTACATTAAAAGGCCTTGATCATATGACTTTGACTTTGCTAGTCATTGAGAACTAAATCATGAAATCAAAAAGGAATAAAATTTTATATCCAAGTGAAATGACAGACTGTACAATGATTCATTGGTGGAAGAAAATAACCTATTTTTTTCCTGAGGAAAATTCATTCAATGGGTAAATTCCGTACAGTGTATGGTAGAATTCAGTAGATCCAGGAGCTATTTTCTCAAAGTTATTGCTCACTAATTAATTAATTAATTTATTTTTGCAATGGATACTCGTCTGGCTAAAATTATCATTTCATAAAACTTGTGCTAGTGTTTACTGTTTGCTTGCTTACTTTGCTTTTCGGTGCATTTCTTTAGAGATATCCTGTGGTACCATCCTACACTATATTGTAGGAAGGAAGATTCACATTACTGTCTTACTTCATGCCTTAAACGCATCAAAGAGACTGAAATTAAATGGTAAATATTCTGCCCAGGGGAGGGAGCAACCAGATGGCGGCTTATGTTATGTTATTATATTCTGTTTGCAATTTAATAGCACTGACAAAGGATTTTATAAATAAAGAGTTGCCTATAAAGGTCGTCTCAGAAATTTTTTTTATTTTGCCGTTTTTAATGAGAAAAAGACGTGCAATGCTGATGTACATGTAAAATTTAAATGTTTGACCACATAAATTGGAATAACTGATGCAGAAAAAGTTAAAACTTAAGAATGACAACCACTAATTACAATTTCATCTGAGCCTTTCGTGTAGCACTTCTGTTCATCATATGTTTGGATTTTAAAAAATGTTGATCAGCAACAATAAACGTTGTGTAATTAATTTCAAATCCGACTTGATAAATGATGTTTACTTGGATCAATTCACCGTTGTACATGAACAAAGTGGAGCTGAGTAAAGAAAACAATAATTTGATCACCCCATCCAAACACTACACTATCTTAATGTTCATGAATGATATCTGTTTTCATGCAAGGCCTTAAACAGAAACGGTTTAATCAAAGCCGTTGTAAAACAAACAACAGGATGTAGACGGCGGGTTTGTAGGGTTGATTCCGCCACGGCAATGGCACATTTGTGAATCTTTTTCAAAAATAATTTGACTTGCGCTATTATTTTCAATGTCTTATAAGATAACACCCTCCAATATAAAAAGAAATCAGCAGTAATTTACGTAAACGGATAAAATTCAATATGTTATTATAACACAAAATATATGTCTTACTGACAAGACTCAAATATTCTTTTTATGTACAGACACAGATGTGTCTGTACATAAAGCCATCATCTGCCTCTGTCGTCGCCGTCGTCGCCGTCGTCGCCGTGCACTTTTACCGATAACACGATAAGTGGAAAACCATTTTACCTTTTGACTTGAAACTTACAGAACTGATGAATATTCATAATACGCAGGTCAAGTTCGAAAAGCAGCATGATTGGGCCATTTTTAGGGAATTTATGCTGTTTTTTCACTATTTTCAATATAAATACAACACTGATAACACAATATAAGAAAAACGGATTGGCCAATTGTAATCATACTCACAGGAGTGGTCAATCTTACTAAAACGCAGGTTGAGTTCGAAAATCAGCATAATCAGGCCATTATTTTAGAAGTTATACTGTTTTTCACATTTCCTCAGATTCAATTATTAGGCATGTTAACAGTCTCATTATTTAACTAATAAGATGCCTAACAGTGTTTGTTTGATATTTCCTGCATCTTTACAACATTGTTAGTTGATTATGTAAAAAACATGGTAAACTTGTTATCATGTATTGTGTAATAAAGTGTCAAAAATGGAAATAAACTCATATCATTGCAGTTTGTCAGATTCAATCATCCACTATGTTCAGAATCTCAGAATGGAGGAAATTGGACATTTAACACTGTTCTATTGATACTTTTCCCATCTCATCAATTTTCTTAGTTGGTCATATAAAA